GGCTGGCGCGCTGCGGCCGGCGCACCGCGCTGATCCGATGGCAGGAGCCAGGAGCCAGGTGCTTTTCCTGGTCTCCCATGGGGTGCAGGGCCCAAGCACCTGGGCCATCCTCCACTGCACTCCCTGGCCACAGCAGAGAGCTGGCCTGGAAGAGGGGCAACCGGGACAGAATCCGGCTCCCCGACCGGGACTAGAACCCGGTGTGCCGGCGCCGCTAGGCGGAGGATTAGCCTAGTGAGCCGCGGCGCCGGCCGTGAATCTGCAGGTAATTCTATAATATAGTATAGTACACACACACACACACACACACACACTGGCCCTTCCATCCTATTCTGTTTCAAGGCTTACAGTACAATGATTTGCCATACACTCAGAGATAACAATGGCATTTAAGATCATGGAGAATGATCTGAAAGTTAAAAAGGAAACATCTTCTTACAGAGATAACAACTCAAAGTCAACAATAACAGAATTTGAATTATTTTTCTAGTTATTATGCTCAGGGTGTGATAAGACTTTCTTTTCAAAGCTCTGTTGCATTTGATAATCACTTAAGAATTTTTTAAAAAGTTTTATCTTATTTATTTGAAAGACAGACTCACAGAGAGAGATACAGACAGAGAGAGAGGACTTTTATCCACTGGTTTACTCCCTAAATGGCCACAGCAGCCAGAACTGAGCCGATCCGAAGCCAGGAGCCAAGAGCTTCTTCCAGGTCTCCCACGTGAGTTTAGGGTCCCAGGCACTTGGGCCATTCTTCCCTTGCTTTCCTAGGCACATTAGCAGAGTGATGGATAGGAAGTGGAGCAGCTGGGACTCGAACCAGTGCCCATATGGGATGCCAGCGCTGCAGGCTGGGGCTTTAACCTGCAGCACCACAGCATTAGCCCCTTGAGCATTTTTAAAACTGCAGCTCTCTGACTTGTTCAATAACACTGGGTTCAATTTAGGCTTGGATTTTTTTTTAACCTCTCTAGGTGATTCAAACATACAGCCAAATTTGGAAATCTCTCTTCCATGTCATCCTCTCTCACTTGTCTGAGAAACACAACTCCTTCCGTCTTGGATTAGAATTGGCTATAAAACACAAATCTACACCGCAGGCTCACTCATGCTCCTTTGGACTCATCTGGGTGGCTTTCTGGTGTGTGCATTGGCAAGGTGCAGACAGCTGGGCTCATGTTTTGTGTCTGGTCCTTCTGCCTATGCTATCCTTTCTTGGCACCTACAGATTTAGACACGACTTTAGATTTCAGGCAAGCACATCTCTTGAAAGGCCAAATATAGAATGGAAAACAACTGATATTTAATTTAAAAGATCATTAAAGAAAATTTCATTTCAATTCATCTTTGTAGTTTAAGAGTTTTAAATTTTATTTGAAAGTCAGAGTTACAGAGACAGAAGGAGAAAGAGAGAAGGGGAAAGAGAGAGAGAGAAAGTGAGAGAGGGAGGGAGAGAGGGAGAATCTTCCATCTGCTGGTTCACCTCCCAAATGTCCACAATGGCTGGGTGTGGGTGAGGCTTAAGCCAGGAACCAGGAGCTTCATCTGGGTCTCCTACATGAATACATAGGCCCAAGTACTTGGGCCATCTTCCACTGCCTTCCCAGATGCATTTGCAAAAAGCTGGATTGGAAGTGGAGCAGCTGGAACTCCAAATGGCACCCATATGGGAAGCCGATGTCATGGGCCAGGGCTTCACCGGCTATGCTGTGACGTGGGCCTCGCTTGTGACTTGAGTTGAGGTCAAATGCACCTGTCCAGAAAACCCCTTGGGCATGCTTCTTGTCATTCAGAGCAGCCCTTAGTCAAACCCACTGACACTGGGTGAAGTGGGTGTAAGTCAATTCTTCTAGTACTGATTTTTATGATTTGCTCATCAGCTTGTCTCTCAGGGAAATTTTCCTTTGAAAATTTAGATCACTGACACCCAGATTTAATGGGCATGAAAATTACTCAGAAAGATTTTTTTTTAAAAAAAATGGAGACAATCCCCTACCCTCTGAGATTATATATAATTAACTTTGGGGTGACTTGGTAAAAGTCTGTATCTTTTAAAGATTTATTTATTTATTTGTAAGGCAGAGAAAGAAAGGAGAGAAGGGAGAAGAGAGAGAAGGAAAGAGAATGAAAGGAAGAGGAAGAAGATCCTTCATCTACAGATTCATTCCTCAAATGGCCACAAAAGCTGGGGCTGGGGCAGACAGAGGCCAGGAGCCAGGAGCTCCATCCTGGTCTCTCACATGGGTGGCAGTGACCCAAGTACTTGGGTCATCATTCACTGACTTCTAAGGCACATTAGCAGAAACCTGGATTCAAACCACCACTCTGGTATGCGTTTGCTGGCATTGTACGCATTGGTTTAACCCAACACACCACAATGTCTGGCCCCAGATTTGGTTTTTAAAATAAGTAGTTTTTCATGACCCTAATGTAGTTGGGTCACTAGGATACCTTTAGGATATCCTTGGTGGAAAGATCATCTCCAAACTGAATGTGGTTGTTGAGATCTGGCAGCTGCAAGCTAGCACAGACATTGAACTTCAGCACTGCAGCATTCCAAGGGAAGACAGAGCTTGCTAATGTACCGTGGGGGTGGGGGTGTGCAATCTAGATAAGAAAATAAACCTTCCGTTCTGAGACTTTTTTGTAAATGACAACTTTTGCGAAATGACTCACTGGAGGATTATTACAGGCCAAGGATGATAACAGTCATTAACATTCTAGGCACAAATGTAATTCATTTAGAGACTGGCAGGCACTTGGTATTGTGAAGTACCTAATGTAATTGCATTCTGCAGCTAGGACATGGCGATGGACACCTGGCTGGCCACGTGGGTCTCTCCCGTCAAGCACAGCCTAGAAACCTCTACGTGTGGCCCTGAAGTAGGGCAGCTTCAGTTTCCATCCTTCCTTCCATCTCATTTTCTGAAGCACTATTCAGTCATATTGAGATCAAAGAGGAAAGAATATTTTTTTTCTTCTGTGCTCCTGGCTGAATGTGAAAATACTCGGCTCTGTTTAGAAAGTTCGTACAAAAAAAACAATTTAATCTCTCATATGTATGCAGCAATTGTTATGAAAGCAGAGAGGGGAAATGTGAAAGCAATTTAGTTATCACCACAGCGCTCTACTGCCTCTTGTATTTTCTTCAGATTTTAGCCTTTTCTTTAGTGATGAATCTGGGGACACACTGTTCACTGTTTCCACCCAAAAAATGCTTTTCAAATGCCTTTTCTCTTTTATTTCATTTTCCATTTAGTGTTTGCTAAATACCACCAGGAGTAGCATTATGGTCTGGGATAATAGGAGAAAAATTCAGTGTGTTGAAAGCTGTCTGCTGCTTTTTCTAGGAGGGTGAGACCTCATTGTCACACAGGAGCCTGCTGGTAGACTTCTAACGGAGGACAAAGGAGCACGGTTCTAGAAAATCCTACTGTGGGTTTGGGAGCTCCAGTGAACCGCAGTGTCATCCCTGCCCAGGCAGTCTGCCCTTTCCATTCGTTAAATTGTATTTCTCATTAGAGCCCGGCTGATAACGCCTACAACAAGGCAGAGGAAAGTAGGTCTTGTTGCTGCTTAATGTGAGGAAATTGATTAAGATAAATTTAAGATTGTGCCCATCTTAGAAAAAAAAGAAATAACTCATTATGAAAAGAATGGACTGCTTGCTATTATTCTGATAGGGAGCAATTTAATGAGCAAATTTATGAACTGCTGAAGCCAAACTTCTTGGCAATTGCATTTTGCTTGGTAGTTCCTAAAGAAAAAAAATAATAACCCACATTAGGAGGTGAGCAGATGTTTTCATAGAAAACTCTGGAAAATATACAAACCATTAAAATATTAATGGTTACATAAATGAGAATTTATATAACCATTAATATTCTGATACATGCACTTTAACCGTTCTCTTTGAGTTTAGATGCATTTTGGCATATTTTATACACTGCTCTCAAAACTGCCTCTTTTCACCTACTCTCACATTGTAAGCATTTCTCATGATTAGAAATTCTTCATGAACATCAACTGAATGTTTGTGTAATGAATTCTTGGACATGACGTTTATTTATAATACTCATAATTGTCAGCCATCATTGACGCTCTAAAATATTTGTGGAAAGTCCCAAATTCCCACCTAGTAAATTAAATGGCAGATGATAGATTCTGGATCACCCTGTTTATAATAACGAAGTCACTTCTTGAAAAAAATGTTAAAATATTGAAGAGGATCCTGGAGCTTAAGAACTGGTTGTTTGGGACTGTGTTTTGGTTCTATTTGGGGTTGAGTCATTGTTTCCGGAGTTGCTTCTGTGTTTGATGTCAGTGGATTAGAGCTGGATGCCAGTGGTTTCTGGATCTAGCAGGAGGGTACAGTAACCAGGAAAGAGAACAAATGAGCTCCAGCCATGATGTGTTCAGGGTGAAGGGAAGACTTGTAAACATAAGGGTGATCTATTTAATCCATCTACCACAAGACCATGATTAGTAGGCAACATCTGTATACACTGTCCTATATGAACTTAAAGGCCATATGCAAGACTTACAGACCACAGTCCATCTCTTCAAAGAGGTTTTATTTTGAGTCCTTAAAACTGCCCTAGAGCTATAGAAGGGACTTTTCAGGCCTGTCCTGCTGTCTTCTCCCTCAAATCCACCTGCTGTGCACCAGAGGCGGCAGTACCCACTCTGACACAGCTCAAGTGGGCAACTCAATAGTAACTCTGATCTCAGAGGGCTCCTGGATCTGCTCTCAGCCCACACTCCCCATCTGCTGGCAAGCTCCGCTCTACTCTTAACCCCATAGCAGGCTACTATAATACTCCCCCACCCCGCCAACTCCAGTGTCCGGGACCATGTTTGTCCAGAAAGGTAGAAGGCAAAAGACACACAAATTAACATATGGAACAAGCTCCATTCAGAACTGCAAACTGTTAATTTGCATTAGCAAGAATATGAACACCATGATCAAAGGCAAAGATAATTTATAAAGAACTTACCAAGTGTCAGGTATTGCTTGAAGCACTTTACACGGATTATTTTAGTCGATTCTTACAGCAGCCTTGGAAGTTGTTATCACCATTTTACAGATGGGAAAACAAAGTCAGAGAGGTCTTCCAGATGACAGACAGAACAAATAGGATTGAAACCTATTCTGACTCCAGTGTGCGCCAGGTGACACCGCTAGCTCACAAAAGGAAAGGGTGAATTAAGAAAGACTTCTGAGGAAGTCTAAAATTTTTCCGAGCAATGGATACAACCTAAGGAGAGAAAGGGAGGGTGTGTTCTAAGTCAGGAAAATGCTGTGCATCCAACTTGCAAGGACCTAATAAAAATTCCTGTCATGCTAATATCTACCCACATGCTGGAATGCTTTCTCTCCCTTTTATTATTTTGACTAACTTGCTCATCTTATCAAACTTAGCTCAGAAACCACCTTATCTAGAGAGTGTCCTTGTATGCAGTATCCCTGGTTAATTGCTCCATGCTTGGTGATGACTTCTTTCATAGCTTGTAGTAGATAGTGGGGAGGGGGGTGAAGAAAAGGGAAAAGGAAAGAAAAAGTTTTTGTGGCAATCTCTGCCCATGCACTTGGCCAGGCATCTTGGCAGCCCTACTTAGGGACTGCACTTATTCCCCCTCACTCTGGAGCACGAACAGGCCTCTGACATGTCTGGCCAACAGGATGTGGTAGGAGAGATGGTACAGCAGGTTTCAGACTAGACCACCAGAGATCTGGGGAATGCTGATCTCTTGGATCCTCGTCTCTCCATGAGAATGAGGCTAAGTTGCGATAGAGGAGGAAGGAAGCTTATGGAGAACTGAGTAAACCCTCAGAAACTGAGCACTTATCTGATGCCTCACCTGATCGCAGATGCATGGGAGAGGCCAGAAGAGGAGGATCAGGCCTGGTTCAGATCAGCAAAACTCCCCATTCAGCCTGCACTCTGGTGACCAACCACAGACAGTTGCTTTGCCTTATCTGTGAAGTTGTGGAATGCTGAGTGGCACAGCAGATATCATAACAAAGTCATAAAATATGTGACATCAATTTTGTGTACAGTGGTGAGCACAGGCTAGGGAAATAATGGGTAAACTGCAGGAAAGGGTTAGAAAAATGGTGAGAAAAAATTTTAGAGGATTTTTGGAAAATGGCAAGCCATCTTATGTAATGAAATGACTAACAAACTGTTAGTTCTGCTACTTAGGGATGGAACCTATCCCTAGTGAGTTACTGGATTTGGCTAAGAAGACCTCTAGGCACAATGCTGAAAGCATAAGGATACTTCAGGCCTGACATTATAGCGCAGAGGGTTAAGCCATTTCTTGAGACACCGGCATACCATATTGGAGTGCTAGTTGGAGTCCCAGCTGCTCCACTTCTAATCCAGCCTCCTCCTACTAACGCACCTTGGAAGACAACAGATGATAGCCAAGTGCTTGGGCGCATGCCACTGGTGTGGGAGACCAGGATGGAGCTGGTAGCTCCTGGCTTTGGCATGGCCCAGACCTTGCTGTTGTGGCCATTTGGGGGATGAACCAGTGAATGGAAGGTCATTTTGTGTGTCTCTCCCTCTCTCTCTCTCTCTCTGCTATTCTGCTTCCAAATAAATAAATAAATCTTAAAAAAAAGAAATTATGCAGGTACCTCAAAAAGCTAGTGGAAAAGTGGAGTTAAAGATAAGTTTATTTTGGTACAAATAATTTTGAAATCTGTACATAGGTTTTTTCATAATATATATTTTCAATGAGCTTTTGAAGACCTTGCAATGCATGCATTTCAAACAATTTTAGAACCAAAATAAACTTATCCTTTAATTCCATTTTCCCACTAGCTTTTTGAAGTATCCCATATCAATTAATCACTGCTTGATAATGATATGGTACAGAAAGCGGATGATGAACTAAAAATCAGTACTGGATAGTTCCTAAGATGTAAAGGTTAGAAAATAAAAATGTTTCTCACTTCTAACCTCTCAATCAGTAAATAATCAAATGCAAGTTATCCCAGAAAGACATGGCCTTGGGGTTTAAACAGCACATAGAAGCAGCAATTTATAGGACCTCGGCAAACATATGTTGGTCAGTTAAGCAAGAAACTTTTTTGGTTAGTGATGATAAATTAATATCCAAGGAATGGAAGGTTCTGAATTATCTCTAACAATTTGAACATGTGCTTATTTCTAACCCTAAAAGCTGCCAGCTTCTCTGCCTTGTATCCCGTGGCTGTCACCCTTTCCCCTGCCGGCATTCCATCTCCCTACTTCCTGTGGTTTGCTTTCCTCTAATCTCTCAGTGATGGGATCCGTGTAGCAATTTAAACCTAATGAGACTTGTAACACTTTCCAACCTCCTATTTAATGTAAGCAACTCTGTACTTGATAATTATATTACCAAGTAAACTTATAGAAGAAGCTACAACTTAATTCCTAGACAATATTGTGACAGGAAAACAACTTCTAAACTGGGAACCAAAGGCAAATCAATTTATCATATTCTAGGTGTGAACTGAAAGTCCCTTAAAATAGAACATTGTGGATTTCTTTGCCTTCCCTCACCCCTCTTTTTGTCCCTCCTTTCCTTCCTTCTTTCTTTTGCTGTAAGCAAAGAAGTTTTAGAGTACTTTTGGCATTTTATAATTTTCTGCGCTCTACTAGTCACAGGGTGGGGAAGTTTATGTTTGCCAAAACTGTAAAGGCCAAAGTAAAAAGTCTTGTGTTGCAACATTCTGTCGCCAAAGCAGGCTCAGTTCCTTCCTGACCAGATGAGACCAAATGGAGATCTCTCTCTGAGTCAATTCCAGAAAAACTATTTGCAGTCTCCACATGTTTTCAGTGAGCAGATGATGATGACAACAAATAAATAAATAAATAAAGGTGACTTTCTGATTAATTCTTGGAGTACAGTTTACTGATGCTCAAAATAGATGAAAGAGATGACATTTGGATTGAGTTCACTCAAGTGGTATCGTGGTAAGCAAGACGGAAATCGTACACAAGCAGTGAAACAAAGAACAAGACTCTTTTTACCGTGTCGTGGCTGAAAATTTAGCAAAGCTAGCATTCGGTCCTGAGTCTCTGTGCTTCAGAAGCTGTGAACATGTTAGAGGTGTGAAAAAGCAAGCACAAGCAGAGTCAAGAACGGAGCTGATAGAGGACTTCAGGAAAGAATCTAGGACTGCTGAGACCATTTGAGGATCTAGTATTGATGTCTAGTACTGAGACTATCTAGTATTGAGACTATCCAGACTATTGATACCTAGTATCGAGTATCTAGTATTGAGACCATTGAGTATCTAGTCTAAACTGGGTTAGAAAGGCCTTTGGAGAAATACAAAGTTATGATAGGGCACCTGAGCTTTGGGGACTCCTGTTTCTGCCTTAATGGAATGACTTGTATTGTACTTTGTCTCCAGTGGAGAGAAACTATAAAATCTGGGTAACATGAGAGCTTGAAGGCACTGGGGAGCAACCATGGCAGCCAAGACTTGAGGGACCAAGAAGGCTGAGAGAAATGTAGACCGCATTTGCTTCCTCATCCTCCCTCGGGTCATTTGCTAATTTTACAGATCAGAGAAAAAGAATCCAGCAGGCAGAAGCACGCGAGGGCTTTGGCATTCTCATTAGGCTAAGAAAATAGATGTGGCTTGAGGCTGTCAATATAGCAAGAAATGAAGAAACGCAACCTCTAGAAAAGGAATCTTGGGGAAATGAGCCTGAAAACCTGCATGAGATTGCCCTTTGACACACCCACCAACTCCTAGGTGTGCTTATGTGAGGCAAACAGAGACAAGTTTCTGGAAAAAAGGTAGCAGATGCCAACAACAGGGAGGCCACACAGCTGAAAAGATATTTGGGGCCAAGTAGATTTAGCACTAAGGAGACAGGCATTAGAATTCATGGTCAACAATGTGGATGAACCCTGGGAAATAGCCTCACACTTTTTAAAAATTTTTTTTGACAGGCAGAGTGGACAGTGAGAGAGAGAGAGAGACAGAAAGGTCTTCCTTTACCGTTGGTTCGCCCTCCAATGGCCATTGCGGCCGGTGCACCGTGCTGATCCAAAGCCAGGAGCCAGGTGCCTCTCCTGGTCTCCATGCACGTGCAGGGCCCAAGGACCCCTGGGCCATCCTCCACTACACTCCCTGGCCGCAGCAGAGAGCTGGCCTGGAAGAGGGGCAACCGGGACAGAATCTGGCGCTCTGACTGGGACTAGAACCCGGTGTGCTGGCACTGCAGACGGAGGATTAGCCTATTGAGCCGTGGCGCCGGCCACCTTACACTTTCAACTGAGACTTCAGAAAAGGAACTCACCTAAGAGTTAGGGCTAAGTTATAGCATTAAAAGCAATGCTGAAATGGCCCACGTTCCAATGATCTATTACTATTCTGCAAAAGTGCTACAGGTTTAAGACAACGAGTAATCATCTTTCACAGTTCTTGGGCTCAAGAGACAGCTAGGTGGTCTTGTCTGGTGTGCTTCATGTGCATCCAAATGTTTGAGGACTTGCTCACTCAGGTGGCTGGAGCCTGGGCCTGGAGGTCTGGAATAGCTGGAGAGTGATCAGGCATTTGTTTGTGCATAAGTCCTTTCCACGTGTCTAATTTTTGCTTCCTCATAGCATTAAATCTCAGTGTAGTTGGACTTCTTATATGCTAACTGGCTTCCTCTAGATTAGGCATTTCAAAAGACAGGAAGTAGAACTGCCAGTCTCTTGAGACCTGGGCATTAAAATGATGCAGCATCACTCTTGCCCTATCATGTTGGCCAAAACATCTTGGAACCTACCTAGGTTCTGAACTCAATAACAGGAGTGTAAAAGAACTTGAAGTCATCTTTATTATACCACAAATGCAATCCCACAAAACATTAAGTTCAGTCTCAACTAGATGAAGCTGATCTTCACATACTTGACCTACCTGTCAGAAAGCATTTAACTCTGCAAGGAGAAATATTACTTAATGCAGAGACCCATAATTATTCATGCACAGTGTTTGATACTCAATGAAAAACTAGTAAGAATGCCTAGAAATATTTTTTTTTTGACAGGCAGAGTGGACAGTGAGAGAGAGAGACAGAGAGAAAGGTCTTCCTTTTGCCATTGGTTCACCCTCCAATGGCCGCCACGGCTGGTGCGCTGCAGCTGGCGCACCACGCTAATCCGAAGCAGGAGCCAGGTGCTTCTCCTGGTCTCCCATGGGGTGCAGGGCCCAAGCACTTGGGCCATCCTCCACTGCCTTCCCTGGCCACAGCAGAGAGCTGGCCTGCAAGAGGGGCAACCAGGACAGAATCCGGCGCCCCAACCGGAACTAGAACCCGGGGTGCCGGCACCACAGGCGGAGGATTAGCCTAGTGAGCCGCGGCGCCGGCCAAGAATGCCTAGAAATATGACCAAATCACCAAAAGCCAAGAGAAAAAGTAAACAACAGAAACATGACTCTTAGCAACTGC